TTCCACTTGAAAAAAAAAAAAAAAAAAAAAAAAAAAAAAAAAAAAGAAGAAAACTTGTTTCTCTACTTTCTAGCAGTTTAATTCTAAAATCTGGTGCATGATGTGCTTTAAACAGGGATGCAAAGGGATTGAGCTGCAGCTGCATCTGACAACACATTGGCCAGGGTGCATGTGGCATCCTCATGGGTGGCAAATGTGGCACTTTGGTGGCCTGACAGCACCCTGGGGTTGCTGCAGGAGTGTTTCTTCAATAGGCATGTTCTGTGATCCTTCTCCAAATTTTTGCAAGACAAACTATTGTTTTTAAAAACTGCTTTAAACCTACATTTTATGGCTGCTGAGATGGACACAGGATATGACCTTCTTGGTTTGACCCAGATTTTGACTCGCTGTAATTTTACATCACTGTTTAGCAAATGCAGATGTTTAAAAAGAAGAAGGCTGTTTCCTCTGGAACAAAATCAAAATGCTTCTTTCTTTCTAAAGGAGCATAAGAGCTCCTTTTATAGACTTTTGGTCTGATCCTGGGTTGCAGACAGGGAGAATATTGTGTACATGGGGATGACATGAACAAATTCAAATTGGGGAATCAGCATTTTCCTGTAACAAATATGTGAACCAGCTTCTGGGCAACAGTTGAAATGCAGATACAGATTAATTTATGATTGTACTCAGATTTGGGCAGTGGAGACAGGCTGGGTTTGAGCTGAGGACTCACACCAGCACCCAGATGTTGCCTGTGTTGTGTTTGCTATGCAGGACTTGGTGCTTTGAATTGAATCCCAGTATATTTAGGGCATAATTTGGCAATAGAAAGAAAACTGCAGAGACTGACCCCATTAGGGTCAGTTATTTGGTTGAGATTCTGGGTCTTTAAAAATCCTCACGTAAAAATTGAATTGTTTACTTGCAGCTGCTGGAATTGGATCTTGGTGCCTAATTGAACTCAGGGACAGGCTCTCTGTTATTGTTTTAATTTAATAAATGGCTTGAAAGAGCACTTAGATGGCTTGGGGGCCCTTCCAGGAGCGGATGTGCTCCGTGAGAGGTGCTCAGCTCCTGCCAGGGCAGAGGAGATATGGAAGTGGCTGGGTCAGCTGTGCTCCCACCTTCTGACCCTCTGCCATCACACCGTGCTCTGCACAGGTCCCACAGCCCATGGTGATGGTCCTGCCATGGATCTCTTTGTTCCTGGGCCACCAGGAGCTGCTCCCTGAACAATCCTGGCAGGAGTGACACGCTGAGAGCAGAGCACAGCTGGTCTCCTGTGAATCCCTGTCTCTCCCCTGCCCTCTCCAGGTGTTGTAGGTGGTTTCACACCATGGGTGGAAAACAGTGACTGCCCCAAATCCACAGCAGTGTTCACAGCAACAGGAATATTTACACTGGCTTCAGAAAGAGCTGGATCTAGCTGATTTTCCAGCACCCCTTAGAAGCAGAAATCCAGGTCAAAACACAGATCTTACCGTTTTGATTTTTAAATTTGCCTTTCTTTCACCCCCTCCCCTGTGTCTGCAGAAACCTCTTTGCACCAGGCTACACTGAGACCCACTACAGCCACACTGGCCAAGCCCAGAGCACCCCCCTGAGCCACACGGTGAGTGCAGAGACCCCTCCCTCCTGTGCCTGCATGGGACACCAGGCTGGCGCTTGGAGAAGCAGGTGAACCTCTTCCTCCTGAGCCTTTTTTTTTAAGGGCACACATCCCCACAGCTTAAAGCTGAAGGGGAGGGCAGTCCAGCTTTCTGATCTGGGAGGTTCCAGTGGGAAAGCTGCTCCATCCCCCAAAAATGGTAAAAACATCTTTCTGTTTTGCCTGAGCTCTGCTATGAGAGCCAAGGTCAGCAGCCAGCATTGCTCCCCTCTCTCTGGGTGCTGGGGAATTGTTTATTCCTCATACTGCTCACCCCCTTGCTTTTAGTTTTGCCACCGAGTTCCCCACACTGGGGGAACTTTGGGGAAAAGAGCCCCTATAAGCCAGCTCCTGTTCAGTAAAAACCCCACAAATTACTGATCTCAGCCAGGCTTGGCTGCCTCCGCTGCAGCAGCACAAAGATGTGCATTGGTCACAAAGCAAAAATAAAAGATAAAATCCCCATGAGATCATCTTTCCTACTGCTGCCCCGGGGTGAGGGGAAGGGATAGAATGAATATGTTGGCGTTTCTGCCCCAAAGCCTCCTTGTCCCTGCCAGAGGCTGCCTTTGTCCCCCAGCAGCCCCACTGCCCGCGGTGTCACCCTCTCTGGGGCTGCAGCCGCATCCCCTGGGGCATGACCCGGGGCCAGCTCCTGTCACAGGCAGAAAGCTTTGGGTCTGCCCCAATGCTGCAGCCAGCCCAGTCCTTCCCTGGCCAATTCAAAGCTCTCCATTTGTGCTGGCAACAAGGAGCTGTTTGATGCTGTTTGATGCTCTGGCACAGGCGGCGCTTGGCAGCCGAAAGGCCAAATTTCGCAGCGGAGTCACGGAGATTTAGCGCTGATAATCGGAGGAGAGGGAACAACGACCGGAGCATCAGCACGGGACTCAGCAACCCCTAAATTTAATCCCATGTGCCCTGTCCATCCCAATGGTTGTGTTCGAGGGTGCCAGGATGAGGGAAGAGACGAGAATCTTGACTCCATGCTTCAGAAGGCTGATTTATTATATTATGATATATATTATATTAAAATGCTATATTAAAACAATACTAAAAGAATAGACAGAAAAGGATGCATCAGAAGGCTAGAAAGGACAGGACAGGAATGATAACAAAAGCTCGTGACTCTCAGAGAGTCTGAGCCAGCTGACTGTGATTGGCCATTAATTAGAACTGACCAACATGGACCAATCACAGGTGTACTTCTTGTGTTCCACAGCAGCAATTATTGTTTACATTTCTTTCCTGAGGCTCCTCAGCTTCTCAGGAGAAAAATCCTGGCAAAAGGATTTTCCAGAAAATATCGTGGCTACACATCCTGTTTGGGCACCGCTAACCCAGCCTCCTGTGCCCTGCAGGATCCTTCTAACCCAGCCTCCTGTGCCCTGCAGGATCCTTCTAACCCAGCCTCCTGTGCCCTGCAGGATCCTTCTAACCCAGCCTCCTGTGCCCTGCAGGATCCTTCTAACCCAGCCTCCTGTGCCCTGCAGGATCCTTCTAACCCAGCCTCCTGTGCCCTGCAGGATCCTTCTAACCCAGCCTCCTGTGCCCTGCAGGATCCCTCTAACCCAGCCTCCTGTGCCCTGCAGGATCCCTCTAACCTGCCTCCTCTGCCTTGCAGGAGCACTGCTTCTACCACGGCGCCGTGCGCGGCTGGGAGCACTCCAGCGTCACCCTGAGCACCTGCCGAGGGCTGCGGTGAGTGCCTGGCGTGCTGGAATCTGGGAATGCCCCTGGGAATGCCCCTTGGGAATGCCCTTGGAAATACCCCTGGAAATGCCCCCAGGAATGCCCTTGGAAATGCCCCTGGGAATGCCTTTGGGAATCCCCCAGGAATGCCCTTGGGAATACCCCTAGGAATGCCCTTGGAAATGCCCATGGAAATGCCCATGGGAATGCCTTTGGGAATCCCCCAGGAATGCCCTTGGAAATGCCCATGGGAATGCCCCTGTGAATGCCTCTGGAATGCCCTTGGAAATGCCCTTGGAAGTGCCCCTGGGAATGCCTTTGGGAATCCCCCAGGAATGCCTTTGGAAATGCCCATGGAAATGCCCATGGGAATGCCTCTGGAAATGCCCATGGGAATGCCCGTGGGAATGCCTCTGGAATGCCCCTGGGAATGGCCCTGGGAATGCCCCCAGAAATGCCCTGGGAATGCCCCCGCTCAGGTGTTGCTGCCTCCCAGCTCAGCTCCCAGCAGCCTGCCTGCCCTGATTCTCTCTGAGTGGATGGAGAGCTCTCAAAGGCCATCAGCCTGGGTATAAAAAGGGGCGTGTTGGGGAAAATGCAGAATTTGGGGTATCATTAGTAGCCGTGGCCTCCTAAGCAGCTCCAGGACCCTTCCCCCGTGTGCTGCCGGTGTGGACTGGTGCAATGACTGAGTTTGGGTCCACTGCAGCAGAAGACTCTTGGTGGTGGCTCAGGGCTGCATCTGTCACAGGCAGGGACAGGACTCACCACGTCCCAGCCCAGTGCTCTACACTTTGCAGAAACTTTCTCCCACTCTCTCACAGCTGGCAATTTTCTGTGTATTTTGAGGCAAAGTCTTCAAGTCTGAGCTCCCTCCTGGCTTGTGAGCCCTGCTTTCTGCTTTATCCCCAGGTGGTGCCAGGGCTGTGTGTGTGAAACCTTTATTTTGGGAGTAATGGAGTCTTTGGCTGGAAAAGGGGGTCTGTATCCTCAGCCAGGAGTAAACGAAGCAGTTTGTTGTGACCAAGGAGCTGCATCCATTACACCAGCTCAGAGTTTGTTTCCAAAACATCACACGGGCTTTATTGACATTAGTGGTCATCTGCTCTGGAGCCCTGCTGGAAGCTGTGCTGATGGGACTGGCTCCAGCCAGGAAACAACCCCTGCCAAAGCAAACCTGAGACATTTTAGTGAGTGTAACACAGGCCAAAGGGCCCAGTGAGATAACCAGGACAGTGCAGCCACCTGTGGCTTGCAATAAACGTTCCAAAAGCAAAAGCAGTCGCAGGTGTGCCCTGCTTCTCTCAGCCGGTGTTTTCCTAGGCTCTGCTTCCCAGAGGGACAGAGATGCTCAGCATGCCTGTGCAGAGGCTTCCTGCACCCCTGAGCTGTCAGTGTCTGCTGGCAGCTCCTTGATATCTTTTTCTGACTGCTGGGGAGGCACAGGAGCTGAGCACACGTGGCTGCTCTCACTCTGAGCCTGCATGGTGTGGGTGGTGCCCATAAAGCCACACATTTTCCAGAGGGCATCACACACAGATTTCCAGCTCTCCTGGCTGTAAGATGCTCATTGAGAAATCTAGAACCATCTGGGTATGTGCATGACCCAGAGACAATTCTGCTTTTTCTGCTGACAAAATAAGTCTTCACATTTTTCAGGTCAGGTCTGTTAAAGGCAAATTTCTTCTCCTGGTAGAAAAGCTTCCACTGCCCCTAAAGAAAAAGCTGTAAGTTAAACTTCTCAGATTACAGCACATGCTCCAATAGCCTCTCAATGTCTGAGGCCCACTGAATGGATTTTAATATATGGTAGGTCAGGGATTTCCCCCTCTGAACTGAAAACATTCCCACCCTTTTTATTAATGAACTGCCTGGCCTGTTAAGGATAAGTGCCTTGTCAGAGTCAGATGGGAGCTCAGCAGCAGCAGGATTTGTCTCCAGTTGCTGTGATAGTAATCAACTTTCCCTTTTATTGCTTCCCGTTTCAACAGAGGACTTATCACATTGAGCAGCAATTCCAGCTACATCTTGGAGCCAGCTCCTGACAGCCCAAACCAGCACTTGATTTACAGGGTGGACAACCTGAGGTTGCAGGGAGGAGCTTGTGGCTACCAGGGCACTGTGGATGCAACTGAAGATTGGCTCAGGAACTTCACAGCTGGGATGCAATCACCAGGCCAGAGGGTGAGCAGGGCTCAGGCTGAGTCCATGCACGATGCTCCAAATATCCCAGGCTGATCCCAGCCCTGCTGTTCCCTAGGAGCATAGCTGAGAAAGTGAAGTGAAGACCAGTTAGGAGGGTTTTCAGCAAGCTGGTTGTGAAATAGTGGCTGCAGCAGGGAAGTAAATGAGTGCTGGGGACTGTGGTGGGCTGTAGCTGTTCCTACATCCTATACAGGAGCAAAAGGTGGGCTGAGGACAGGCTTGTGGGCACTTGCTGTAGCCATGCTGACCTTGGCTGCCCTAAATTAATAACATTTGGAGGTCCCTGTGTGTGATGGGATGGGGTGAACAGCCAGTGAGAAACAAACTGGGAAAAATTACCTCTATATATTTTGTGAAGAGTTTTTTGGGGAATGTTGGGGGAGTAACCCAATAACCCAGTGTTGCTGCTGCTGCAGGTGAAACGGGACACTCTGCAGGCTACAAAGTATGTGGAGCTCCTGCTCGTGGCAGATTATGCAGAGGTAAGAAATGGGAATTTTATACCCAAGGAGCACTGGGCACAGAACACCCCACCTGCAGCATCCCCTGGGGCAGGGAGGGCTGCTGGGGCTCAGCAAGTTTTCTCTTGCAATCCCAATAGTTCTCAGTGGATAGGGAGAGCTCTGACTTGGTCACTTTTGTCCTGGCAGCCACCATTGGCCCAGGGAGAGATGCAAATTTGGATGAGGACTGAGAATCAGTTCTGGTCTCCCAGGGTGGCAGTGGTTAGTCCTAGTTATGGCTGGGGGAGTCTGCCTTCAGAATAGGGAAATTTGGGGGTTTCCAGGAGTGGTGTGCTTCTAACTGCAGTACACTTAATCTCTAGAGAAGATAACCATGACTGTGCTCTGCTCTGAGCTGCTAGCACATATATAAATAGACATTTTTAAGGCTCCAGATCACAGAATAGGTCTGGGAGAAGCTGAGTGAAGTCAGCAATCCCTCCCCCATCCCCAGCCTGGACAGAGCAGACACACTGACAGAGCAAACCACACAGTGTTTTACTGATTGTTTAATCTGCAGCACAGACGGGAGCCAGGCTGGTCCTATCCATAATTTACAACTTGAAACTCCAGTAGGGAAAACCACACAGTGCTCTGGGCTATAATTTATTCTGAACAAAGCTAAAGAGGCAGAACCTATTTTGGTTTCTCTGTTAGGCAGCAGGACACCAGGGAAACTGAGAAAACACATAATACCCAGGAACTGCCATATGTTGTTCACCATTTGATCAGAGAAACCGGGACAGAGGCTCACGGTGTTGTTGTTAAATGCCCTTTCTTTGCTGTGTCCCCCACTAAGAGAAAAGTCCAGGATTTTGTCATCTGTTAAACAAAAATCTGAACATTTTGCCACTCTAACTCTTGAGCCAAACAGTTTGCTAAAATTAACTCGTTCATTGCCAGGTGATTTAAGTAGGGAAAATTGGTTGGATGAGTGAGATGTGATGAGAGGTCCAGCAGCCTTGACCTCAGGCATGAAGTCCTGTTATCACACATTTTACCTGGCACATTTGACAGTTCCTTGTCAGCTCCCAGCTCTGGGGGCACTGATAAGTTTGGGTGTGCCACCACTTGATAACATCACTGCCATGGTGTGCTGGGGATAAATTCTGAGTATACCTGTACAGGTGGGCTTAAAGGCAGATGTGCAGTGCAGGGAGACTTCACTTCATAGTTGCCTTCTTATTTCCACAATAATGTGGCTCATTTTAACACATTTCAGATCTTTGTAGTTGCCTCTGTGCTGCCTGACATGTCCATTTTGTTCAGTTTCAGAAACATCACTTCAGCATTGAAGCAACAAGACAGAAATTAGTGGAGGCTGCTAATTATGTAGATAAGGTAAGACTGTGTGTGTGAAAGGAGGAAAGCAAGGCCCAGATCATAAAATACGAGAATTAATTGTGCCAGGGGAAGGCTGGCTTTTTGGGAGAGAGAATAACATTTTGGCAATTCTCCCCTGTGACCTGGGGAGAGTGTCTGCCAAACAATTGTGTTGTTGCAAATCCAGAACAGGGTGGAGGGATCTCCATTCCTTGGAGCCAGCATGAGCACCTTGTGTTTTCCTACATCTCTGTAAAAACTGTTACCTAAGTAATGTTTTTTGAAAAGGGACTGAGGTATTCACTTGAAATGGTAGAAAACCTGGGAAGTAGAACTGGAAGGAGCTTTCAGAAGTCATCCCAGCAGTGGTATCTAGTGCTGCTGAAGTAAAACTTCCTTACTTTTCAGATCTGCTCCCCTTAAACCCCTTCCAGCTCTCCCTTCACCCCACTACTCATGAATGCTTCTCCTGTTTGTACTTGACATGGCAGAAGATTATTTCCTTACTCTTTTCAGGAATTTTGACTGTTGGAATACAAAACATGATGTCAGTCTTCAGTCTTTGTTTCTTCAGATTATGTCTTTGCTAATCATTCAAAAATGAAAGCTCAATTCTGTTTCAGTTTGAGTTTAGGTGGTTGCACATTTCTGTCTGCAGAGCTCAGCACTAAGCTGAAATGCGTTTCCAGAGGGAGCATCTTTTCTGGACATGTGGATCTCTAGCAGCAATTAGCAGTACATATTTGAGATTTAAAATGCAGTAAAATAACTTTGTGGTCCTCATTTTATCATCTCTTTTCTTTTCTGTATCTTAGTTTTACAGGGCCTTGAATATCCGGATTGCCTTGGTGGGGCTGGAGATCTGGAATTATGGGGATAAATGTGATGTAACAGAGAATCCCTACTCCACCCTCAAGTCCTTTCTGGCCTGGAGCAGCAAAGAGAGGCTGCACAGAAAACATGATAATGCCCAGCTAATCACGTGAGCTCACTCCTCCTGTTTCTGACAAGTGGGTTGTGTGGGTGGGTAATCAGAGTGTACCACGATATCCTTCCAGGATTCAAAGTGGCTTTGTGGAAAGCATTAATTCCTAGCCCAGCCCACTGACACACAGAGCTCTGGTGCTGGGAGCCAGCTGATGATGGCCTGTGACTGATGGGCCACTGATCCACCAGGGCCAGCAGCCTGGCCAGCAATGCAGATGGCATTGGAAGAAAAATTTGCAGCAGCTCCTATATCTCTTTACCTCTTCCATGGAAATTCATCCACCAGGATGAGTCAGAGGACCTGTAAGGTTGAAATGCAGAGACACAATGCCTTTCCCTTGTTTTCTTTGGTTGGGTTTTTTTCCCTTTAACATTACTGTATTTCCTCTCCATCTGGTCATGTCCTGAGCACAATTTCCAGGACTTCCATTTCAAAGATGCTGTCAGGATGCTGCAGAATTCCAGCTCAGAGGTGTTACCTACTACTCTCTCAAGTCCCCAGGTCCCAGGCTGGCAAATATGAGGCTTATGATAAATTAATTATTCACAAACAGTACTCAGCTAAGGATCCAGAAATAGTCTTTTCTGTGCTTGTTGCAAAGCTCAGCAGGAACACTTTTTGGAACCAAACCATTATAAAAAATAGGATTGTCTGGCTGGCCCACAAAACAGAGTAGCAGTCCAAGATAAACAGACCTAAAGGCTTTGTAGCTCTGCTATGATGTCCTGCTCTGGAAGACACTAAAAAGACAAAGTGTCCCCCTGACACTGTAGGGAGCTGTGCATTGCAGGGTGCATTTCTCTGCCTGCCTCCTCAAGTGCCTCATTGCCATTTCATGCTTTTTCTGGGTTGATTTTAGGGGTGTGCCCTTCAAAGGTACCACAGTAGGCTTGGCTCCCGTGATGGCCATGTGCTCTGATTTCCAGTCAGGAGGAGTAAACATGGTAAGTAATTGCCAATCCCTAATATAAAGCTTCTTGCCAGCAGTGAATACATAGGAGAGATGCCTCCTAGAGCCCAGGGAGAAAGTATTTCCTGTGAAGTTCTCCACTCACCTGTTTATAGGCAGGAGTACCTCCAGTAGATATTTTCTACATGTACAAATGAGAAGTTCCCCTCACCCCATCTACCCAGAGGTGCACAGGTAAAATGCTGACGTGCCTCTTTGACCTTGCACAGGACCACTCTGATAATGCCATTGGTGTTGCTGCTACCATTGCCCACGAGATGGGACACAATTTTGGCATGAATCATGATTCTGCTGGCTGCTGCACCACCCCTGCAGCAGATGGGGGCTGCATCATGGCTTCTGCAACGGGGTGAGTTCATCCTCATGGGCTCAGGGAGGAGTGTAAAGGGCTTTGTTACAAGTGCCTTGGTGGAGTAAGAACTAGAAATGTAGAGTGAAGGTGGGTTTGTTGCTGCCTGCTGGAGTCAGTGTTTATAGATAAAAAAGTTGCTGGGCAAACCCTGGGGCATGGAGCAGTAGCAGTTTGCTGATTCCCAAGGAACTGATTCCTGCCTGAGACTGGCCTTAGGTAGTGGCAGCATTTGAAAGTGGAGCTCTGAACTGTCTGGTAAAAGGAAAATTTTCCTGTTCCCTTTTCTTAAGAATACTCCTTGGTTTCTGAGAACCTGTGTGTAACAGGAAAGAAGTCTTTGAGAGAAAGGGGAAGCAAGAGTGGCTCTAGAAGCCCATAGGAATTCAAAATTTGATTTTGGATGAGGAAATATAAAAATTTCTACCACACAGTCACGAAACATGCCAGATGAACCCATACACTTAAAGCCACATTCACCATTTTCTCAAGCCTTCCTCTCTTTGAGCAGATTTTGGTTTTTTTCATAAGCATCTTCTTTTATGTGTATCATTTCCTCCAAAACCATTTGGGTGAGAAGTGAAAGCACAGTGGCACGCAAGCAGAGCACACAACATCCCACACATGCACAGCCACACATGGAGTGCACAGGCATTGTAGCAACAGAAATTAATAACTCATGTCACAAACAATATTCAAAATTCTTCAAAATGAGGTTGTAGATAGGAAAAATTAAATATTCTTTTTAGCAGTTAGGCTCACAGGCTGAGTGCTGGATTCTCAGGGTTGTTCAGGCACTTGGGAATAAACCACAGCTCCAGTACTGGGGAGGAGAGGACAGCCATGCTTGTCAGCAAGCACAGTCAAATATAAGTCAACATATTTTGGTTCTATAAAGCTTATTAAGGCAATTTTATTACTAAACAATCTTGCAGTGCAGTCTCACTTGTGTGTAGTGCAGGCACAGGAAATCACAGCCTGCTTTAGCACAGCTCCAGGAATTTCAGGGAGAGACCTGTGTCCTTTGGCACTTGTCATGTGCCAAAGGATTATCATGTGCTCTTTTTTGCTTCTCTAAACCATTGCCCAGACCTGTCTTCATGTTCTTCTACCCTGTCTCTCTTCAGGCACCCATTCCCCAAGGTGTTCAACCAGTGCAACAGACAAGAGCTGGAGAAGTATCTGCATTCTGGTGGAGGGATGTGTCTCTCCAACATGCCAGACACCAAAAGAATGTATGGTGGAGGGAAATGTGGAAATGGCTACCTGGAAGAGGGGGAGGAGTGTGACTGTGGAGAGGTGGAGGTAACAATTGTTCAGATCCAACCATTTAGGGTTTAGTGGGACACATTTTTTTTTTTTAATTATGTATTTTGCAAATACAGTTTTGTGATCTGTAATCATCTTTTCTTAGCACAGGAGGCAAAAATATCTTCCTTGTGTGTAAATGAAAATCAAGGTTCTAAATTATTACATCTGACTTCACAGTGTGTACACTGGTACAATCCAATCCAGAACTCAGGGATGGTGTGGTCCAGGGCTGAACAGAGATGATTAAAACTTCATTTAAAAAGAAGATGAAAAAGTGATTTTAGGTCACAGAATCACAGATTCATTTAGGTTGGAAAAGACTTCCAAGATCATCAAGTCCAACCTGTGACCCATCACCACCTTGCCAAGAGAACCACAGGACTGAGTGCCACATCCAGTCCTTTCTTGAACACCTCCAGGGACAGGGACTCCACCACCTCCCTGGGCAGCCCATCCCAATGCTTAACAACACTTTCAGTGGAAAAATTCTTCCAGGTGTTGCAGTTTCATATATAAATTCACTTTACCTCCACTCCTGTTAAGGATGGGGCTTCTCTGAGCACTGCATCTCACTTCTGCAAATCCATCCTTTGCCTCACAAGAGAGCAGGGAGCTGGAACCAGCAGCCCAGACTCTCCAGATGTGATGAACACAAGCAGCTGTGTCCCATCAGAGGGAGGCTGTGCAGCCCTGGCATTCAGCTCGTGCTGGGTACCCTGAGATACCCTGGAAAGGAGGGTTTTCCTTTGTGTGTGACCCACTGTGAGTGAGAACACATCAGTGCCAGCTCAGAGCTGCCCTGTGAACTCTGCTGCACCTCACTGTCTTCCAGGACTGCAGGAACCCCTGCTGTGACCCCAGGACCTGCTCCCTGAAACCTGGTGCTGAATGTGCCCATGGCAGCTGCTGCCATCAGTGCAAGGTGGGGTCTCTGGGTTTTCCTGAGAGGAAAGGGAACAACAGGGGGGCAACCGTGAGGCTGGGAACTGGAGGGGGAAGGGGAGAGAACACAGCCAAATACGGAGTGTTTGATTTTACCTCACCTGGTTTGATTTTAATTTAGGTGCAACAGCCATGAGTGTAATCAAACTGGTGGGGTCCTTTCTTCTGGCTGATTAAATTGACTCCTGTGGTATCTTAAAGTGAGCTGTGAATGCTGCTGGAGTGAAGTCACACTGCCTCTCTTAAACGCTGAGGGATAAATCAGAGCTGATATGTCTCTCCATTGGCTTTAGAAGAAATCTAGACAGAGCTCTTGGAGCTAACACTTCCTCCAGGGATTAGGCTGGATGCTGTGCTTGCTCTGAACCCTCTTTTCTGGGGTGCAGCTGAATCCCTTTAGCTCAGCTGTTTGCTGAAGAACTGCTGGCAAAAAGTATAATTTTAAATCTCAGCTTTCCTTATAGTGATTGGTTAAAATGTGTTTCTGGCTTTGGAGCCAAAGATCTCAAATTTGACAACAAATTAACTGAAAAATGAACATGGGCAAACATTTCTCTTAAGCTCATCTTTATGTTTGCACATTGACTGTTTGCTCTTACTAACCTATCCTGAGCAAAATGGGGAAAACAGTTTCCAGAAATCCACCTGGACTCACTTGGAAAAAGCTCCCAGATGTGACTGTGAGTGCCCTTTGTTCTCCATGTGTGTGGTGGACAAGAGAAGAATGAGCTGAGCAAGCTCGTTAGCAAGGGAGAAATAAGTTATGCATTAGGAAAATGTCTCCAGCAGAAATGACAGGTAAACACAGAAACAAACTCCCCAGCCAGGGAGGGTTTAGGGAACAGATTACACAAACATCTGTCAGAAATGGTTCAGGTAAATTGGATCCTACCCTAGGGTACAGTGAGATGGATCAGCGTCCCCATGAGGACTGGCAGCCTTACATTCCATAAATGATCTCATTGCTATCTGGGGAAGGGATCCAGCCATTAATTGTGTTCTACAGAGTTCACCCAGCTAATGAAATCCCAGAGGCACGAGTCACTGCTAACCTCAAAAAAAACCTTAGGCAAGGAGGACAATGTGACACACGCGAGGTTCTGCCTTATCTACATGAAACCACAGAGGAGCCAAGCAATAATTCTGGGTTTTCCCCTCTGTCTCTTTTTTAGCTGATGTCCCCAGGAACTCTCTGCAGGAAGAGGTCAGGACTCTGTGACCTCCCAGAATATTGCACTGGCGAGTCCCCGTTCTGCCCCCTCAACTCCTACGAGATGGATGGGGCTCCCTGTGATGGAGGAAGAGCCTACTGCTACAGTGGCATGTGCCTCACCTACAGGGACCAGTGTGTGCAGCTCTGGGGGCCTGGTAAGGACACTGCCTGCAGCACAACCTGCTGTCCTTTGAACCAAAAATGCTCCTCATTTGGAGCTGTTCCTCACCCTGAGCAAGGCAGGAGTGCCTTCCATGCCTGCTGTCAGCAGCAGAGTCTGAGCAGCCTTTTCTCCTGCCTTACTCACATGGAGGAGGCAGCAAAAAGTTTCCCGTGCTCCAACCATTCCAGAGAAAGGACAAGTGAGTGGTTGGCACGGGGTGAGATGAAGCAGCCACTTGAGTCTCTCCCATGCAGGAGCACAGCCAGCACCAGATGCCTGCTTTGAGAAGGTCAATGCTGCTGGAGACATCTATGGCAACTGTGGGAAGGACATCTACGGGAATTACAGGAAGTGTGACATGAGGTACAAAGCAGAGGGGCAGCCCAGAGCTGCTCACAGGAGGCGATGCATTTATAGGTTACAAAATTGTGGGCCAGGAGATAAAACTGATCCATGCATTGGTTCACTCTCTCCTCTGCCTCCTGGGAAGCCAGCTGCATCCTTGTGGGACTTGGAGCCCTTACAGCTGAAGTTTTCAGCTCACCATTTTCAAACATCTAGTTGATATTCTTCCAAAGCAGCAGAAGAGGGGGGATTTTTATAATCCATAAGATAAATGTAGCTTTCTAACTGAGTCAAAATTTTCTTAGTCTTACTTGTGATTTTGTTGATGTTGGCCATCCATGGGGACATCCCCCATCCATGGGGACTGTGGGGTGGTACCATCAGTATCCACCAGATAATTCTTGGGAGGTGATGCCTGCTCATTTAACGACTCAGCACTGCTGCTTTAATTTACACTTAGAGCTCATGTCTGCAAAACATTCAGCAAGCCAGGAGTAATCACTTTAGCCTTTCCTTTGAAATCAGAGATGCTAAATGTGGGAAGATCCAGTGCCAGAGCTCAGCTTTCAAACCCCTGCAGCCCAATGCAGTGGCCATAGACACCACGGTGAACAGGCAGCGCTGCCGAGGCACCCACGTGTACAGATCCGACAGTGAGGAGAAGGAGATGCTGGACCCCGGCTTGGTGTTGACAGGAACAAAGTGTGGGAGCCATCATGTAGGTACAGTTCTGCCTGGAGTGGCTTGGGGGAGGCTCAGAGTATCACTTTTCCACCCAGAATGTGCTTTGTGGTTGTCAAGCTATTAATTTTTTATGTCTAATGCTTTTCTGGAAGATTTCTGTATTTGTTAGAAAAATAATTCCTTAGAGGTTTCAGAGAAGGACACAGACCAAAGCTTTATGTCTCTGCCAGATGAGGTTCAGAGCCAGAGCTAAATCTGGGATTTATCTTGTTGGTTGAAGTTGTCTTGCTTAAGGATGAGACACAGTTGGAACCAAAGACATGTGAGAGCCCCTGCAGGGCCTTTCCACATGGGCATGGCCAGGCTGTGGCCAGCTGAGCTCCCACTTCTCTCTGATTCACATGGACTGGGATTTGGGGTAGTGATTAACTGTTTGCTTGGGAACCAGGTTAACTTCATTTCCTGTTATTCTGTCCAGGGAGTTAATTAGTTGTATTTCCAAGGTATCTGGGACCTGCAAGTCACAAAATAGCACACGGCAGTGACATGGTAGGTAACTCAGAGAGCTAACACTGAGTTTTTGGATGCTTTCTGTGCAGGTTTGCTTTGAGGGGCGCTGCCAGAATATGTCCATCATCTTTGATTCTGAGAGCTGTAGCAAGAAGTGCCATGGGCATGGAGTAAGTGTCTTCTTTTTCACCTCCATTCCAGGCTGAAGCAGGATGGGCTTCCATTCTTCTGTGGCTGCTTCTTCAGCTCAGTTCTGATACCTTCCTTAGGTTTGCTCTGTACTTTGGCTTCTTGGCTATCAATTTGAGTATCAATTTCTTTCCTGTTTGATGCATTTTCTGGTCCATGAATGTCCCTTTGACATAGGATTTAAGGAGTCTGATGGAGGGATATGAATTTCAATAAATGAAAAACAAGGAGTAATCTTAGAGAAAAATATCTTGGGCCCAGTTTAGATTGAATAAAAAGTATTAGACACACTAAAGACAAAACATAGCAAAAAGTAACATTTAGGGCAGTTTAAGTCAAACTGCTTCCACTCCCAGAAGAAAAGAGTTTCCAGGCACTCAGCTCCCATTGGAGTCTCTCCTGTAGTGTTTAATTCAGCAAGGGTTTAATTTGTTTTCACTTGCAGGTTTCTTAGTAGCTTCCACTTGAATCTCTGAATCTTCCCACTCCAGGTGTGCAACAACAACAAGAATTGCCACTGTGACCAGGGCTGGGCCCCCCCGTTCTGCAACAAGGAGGGGACAGGAGGCAGCCTGGACAGTGGTCCCCCTCTGCCTGAAGGTGAGAGGGACCAGCTCTGCTACAGGGCCACTTCAGAAGGACTTGAGTTGGTTGGGAGCAGAAAGTTTTCCATTTAAAAAACTCAATTTTCTTGTCCTCAGGCTCTTCAGCGGTTGTGATAGCTCTGGCAATCCTGGCTCCCATTCTCCTTCTCACAGGAATCTTGTTTTTATTCTATTATCTGAAATGCTGGAGTAAATTTACCATCTGTTCTCTAAAGAAGACACCTCAGTTCAGGTAAGTTGTCAGTGCCTTGTCTCCTTGTCCCCCCTCCTGCCAGGACAGAATTGCAAATGCTGTGAGGAATGTCACTAAGTTGACTTGTTGGTATAGTCACTATTGGCTCATGTTTTCACCCCAGTGAAGACAAAAAAGTAAATACAGGAAAATAAAGGAGAAAACACATCAAGACATTAAACACCTTTCTTTTTCTTTTTCTCATTGTCAGTGACACCTCTGGAACCGGCCATGCAAACCCTGCCTTCAAGCTGAGAACTCCCCAGCAGCAGAGGAAGGTAGGGGCAGGGTCCTTCCACCTGCAGGGCAGAGATACAGCTGCCCCAAGGTGTGGGATGGGGTTTCCCCTCACACTGGAGCTAGGGAGTGGCTTTACCAAAGGATAAGAAAAGGAGACAGACATCACCCCTGGCTGAAAGTCAGTGTTAGCTGAGTGTAGCACCTGTTCCTGGTGATTTCCTCAAAGGCAGGAGCTGGGATTTGACAAGGCTTGTGTGGCTGCTTGTCTCTCCTGCTGGATCTTCTGTTGTCACATCCCCCATCTCAAAACTGGAGAAATGGCAAACCCTGGGTTTATTTGCAAAGTGTCACACTGATGACAGGATTACTCTGTTCTCTTGATTTCCATTTCTGCCTTTTGTTCCCAAGTTGTCCCAGTCCATCTCATCAACACCTACCAGACATGCCCAACACATGCTGGTGTTGCATACCCAACATATGCTGGTGTTGCATACCCAACACATGCTGGTGTTGCAGGCAATATTTTCTTCTCTGTGGCTCAGAGACATCACGTAGATCCTCAGAAGTGTCGCAGAGAGTATAAAGGGTGGTTTGAAGTGGAAATACATGAAGACTTGTGTTTTTTCTGCACAGGTGATTGGCTTCCCTGAAATCCCACCCAAACCTCCTTCTCAGCAAGCTCCAGGGCTCCAGATGAGCAGGCAGCAGCCCCCCACCTTCCCTGGCAGCCACAGCTGCAGCAGGGGACAGCCCGCAGGACCGGTGCTGCCGGCACTTCCCAAGGACATTCCCCGGAGGACACCCCCGAGCAGGCCAGCACCTCCTGCTCCCAAACCTCCAACCTCTCAGGTATGGAGTCGTGCTGCTGTCCTGTAGATGCTGTTTGATGGTAGGTTTGTTCTGGTGAGGCCTCTCGCCCTGGGGGAACTGTTAGTCTTGACCCAAACTGACCCCATCTTACGTGAGCTTCCTCTCCGTGGGGCTATTTTGAAAGGTTAAAAGGAAAGATTTATTTCTTTTGCTGACAGCTCTGTTCTAAACTTACTGTGGACCCCACATTTTTATTGGAAGGATGGTAAATCACTCAGACTGACTTCAACCCATTTTGCAAAATAATATTATTATACTGGGGCCCTCAAAGAAGCAAAGGGCCATCTACAGCAGGTAGCAGGAGGGTGGCTCCCAGGCAGTCTCTCTCTGAAGGACACAGAGGAAAACAAACCCTGTGGAGAAAAAATCTTAGCAAATGGGGTTTGTTTCTAGCTCCATTGTTCCTGTGAACAGCCGGCACTTCAGCAGGAAAGAAAACTAAAACAAAAGCAGGAAGCTGAGTGCTGTCAATAAGGAATAGGTATCCTTCCCAGCTGCTTGTTGACAAGTTCCCCATGATCTCCTTTGTGTTCCCTCCCCAATACATCCAGTCTCTTTATCTCAGTCAGCCTTATGAGGTGGAACACTTTTCATAGGATTTCTACAAGAAGCCTTGCTGTTTCTGGGTTAGTGAACAGCCATGAGTTGGGGAAGACAAAGGGTAAATAATTAATGTCACTTTTTGCTAGTTGCATTGGCCTTCCTGGATGTTTGCAGCATCTGCCAGATTTGCTCTCTTGCTATTCCTGTAGGAGCTCTTCAGACCTGGCAGTCAGTGGACTTTAGTCTGCCTTGTCCTTCCTGGAGTCACAGGGCACGTTCCTTGGAGAGCAATAGATCCCCAAGCCATCAAGCATTGCATTTATGCATAGTCTGAGGAGACTGCAGGGGTTTTGGGTGCCCTCCAAGTCGTGAGTGCAGCTGTGTTTGTTAAATCAACACCTGTAAGGCAGCAGCTTAGCACAGACCCTGAGCAACAACAGGCAATTCGCTCTTGTGGGGGTAACCTCTCCCCCTGGGACATGCTTTCCACTGAAATTCATTAGATGAATGGAAAATATAATGCTCTGAGCATCCTATTAGGGACAGCTGCGTGCACAAACAAATAACAGCTTATGGGTCTCTGTGTGTTTGTATGGGCACAAGAACATGCACATATATAGTGTTTACAGGAATTGTATAGGCAAACAAACAGTGAGTGTATGTGTGTGGAACTTGCTTCCAGTCATGAAGTACATCAGTTAAAGTGACTAATTAAAAAGGCTCTGGAACACAGGTTACGTTTTACTTCCAAAACTTATGGCTTAGATTCAAAACGATTTCTTTCTTCCGTAGGATATTTCAAGGCCCCGGCCACCCCAGAGAGCTCTGCCGGCGAATCCCATCCCATCCAGGTCCAGAGGCTGGCAGGGGAGCAGCCCTGTTGTCCCACTGCCCCCTGGGCACAGCAGGGCCCCTGGGCACCTCCAGCCTGTGGCAGAGGTAGGCACTGAGAGGGGTGGTGGGAAGCACCACTCTTCCCTGGGGAATAAACACACTCAGGAGGGAATATCAGCCTGCAGAACACCTTTGTGCACAGCCCAGGTGGGTGCACACAGAGATTCTTTCCAGCCTCTCTGTCTGTGGCTAAGGAGATGCTTTCTCTGCAGGGAGTGTTTCACAAAAATCATCCTGAATACAGGACTTACTAAGGGACTTCCAGGCACTGAGTTTGGTTCTCTGCAAACTGGGCCCTTTAAAGCAAAACATCTCCGCTCCAAACAGCACAGTTATGCGTCTCCAGCCTGCAATATACTGGAGGCCAGCTGTGGAAAATGGAGAAACTTCCAGGAACTTCCTTGTGGGAGAGTTCCTATGTGATGCACTGGGCTGTGAATGCAGACAGGCTAACATCAGCTCCAGGAGAGGGCGAGGACAGTGCTTGTTCTTCCATCAGTGCTCACTCCCCTTCTTTCCCCCTTTTTCCATCTCACCCAGGGTTCTGGAGCCTGGACAGCTGGAGCAGTGAGCAACTTGAAGGTGGGACAGCCAGGCTCCCGTGGGCATTCCTGAGGCAGCCTGTTCCTGGCTGGCTCTGGCCTTCACCGGGCACTGGATGGTCTTCATCACCCAAAAACACTCTCACACCTTCACTGCCATGGACAGTGTCTCAGCTCCTCCCCTCCTGCCCCAGCCCTGCTCCCTCTGTGACTCACCAGGCTGCAGTCAGGCATGGCAGGGGTGCCCCAGGTACACGCCAGGCTCAGCTGGACCCTCTCTGCCTTTTCCACGTAGGGATGACTTGTTTATACGGTATTTAAATATTGTTGTGCAATATCCACTGCAGGGATGGGGTGATGGGGGTTTCCACGTGTTTTTAATCAGTTATTTAAGTATTACCAGGGAGAACAAGCTGTGAGTGCAGGTGCTGGCCTTGATGGGCTTTCATGTGAGCCCTGTTGGCTTCCTCAGCCCCCCCAGCAGCTGCAGGAGCATATTGGTGCTATAGAGAACCCACTGCCTCTGGGGAGAGCAGCTGGTGATAACATTCTTCAGTTTATTCTCTGTTTACAGGGGGTGGCAAGTGGGGCCCCAACAGGGAGCCAGCCATGGAAATACAATTTGTGGGGCCACTGTGGATTTTGGTCAGCTTTAACAGAGGGGATTATTTTTATTTCATTATTTTCTCCATAAAACCCTCTTCAGCATGAACATTGCAACCCTTCTGTCCTCCAGCACTCGCTTGTCTTGCCCTGGTGCTGTAAATCCCAAAAGCAGCCCCAGCACAGCCCATGACCTCCAATCCAGGCCATTAGGGCACACTCAAGGTACGACAGGGCAGCTCTGGCCCAGACCCAGAGCAGAAGGCAGTGCTCAGACCCCTCTGCAGCACATGGTACTGTCAGCAGGAGATGCTTTTGCACGTGTCTGTGCTGAGCTGTAACTCAGCATGGACTGTCTGCTCCCCAAACCACTGAGAAACCTACCTGGAAAATGCCCAGGTGGTGAAACAGCTGAACTTTTAACACAACACATGGTGCTTTTGTAGGGCAGCTCTCTTACTCCAGGCTTTTTCTCCAGGCCAGGGATGGAGAGAGCTGTCTGTGTGCACTTTAAGCAGCTGATGGTTCTGACCCTGAGGACCCTCCCTTATGAATTTAGTTTTTTCTTGTAAGAGTTTGGCTTTTGTATGTGTTGGTTTTTTTGGTTTTTTTTTTTTTCTTTTTTCTTCTCGTGATAGTTTGGCTTTTGTATGTGTTGGTGTTTTTTTTTTTTTTTCTCCTCAGGATTTTAAAGTAAGACCTTCTGTTATGCCAGATTTTTTTTTTTCCTTGAAATTATTTCCTAGGAGAAGACAGGGAAATCTAGAGCTGTAGTTACAACAGTCCTCTTGTGTCTGATTTATATGGACAAAGCCTCAAAGAGCATGACTGCTGCTCCACATGTGAGAAACTGTATTATTGGCATAAAGCAAATGAGTCTTGTTTGCTGGTTCTCTTTCCCTAAGATCTACTCATTAAAGAAACCACAGATAAACCCCAAGAACTCAATAAATTTGTAATTATATGTAGTAGTGTATCTGTAGGATGACTTAAGTCACATTAGTTTTCACAACTTTACTACCTCTTTCTCCACAAGGAAGCAGTTCACATCATGTGTCTTGAAATTCTCACAGATTATTCCTTATTTTACTAATTTTAGACCTTTTCTTACCTTTTATGTGCCTGGAAAACAAACAAATCAAAAAAATTTATTTCCGAAATAAGGGAGGGCAAGTAAAAGACAATAGCTTTCTAATCTTTGTCTTTTTCAATAGTTGGGGTATATTACATATAAAAATGTGTATTCAAACAACCCCCAAACTTGTTTCTTGGTATGTAATGGCAGGTTTGGCTGCTCACAGTGCAGCAGGACTGTACATACACTGTAATTGTTAATTCAACCACAAGAACTTGATCTCATAGCTGAGCCCTCACTGAGGGCAGCAGCACTTCTGCTCCAACCTCTGATCTTCAGCAAATGGCACTGAAAGTCATTAAAATTATTTTCACTGCTTTTCACGTGAGCATGGGATCAAGGTTTCAAAAAATGTCCCCAGACACACAATGCTCAGAGAACAACTGGACATGCCCAAACTCTAATAGAAAACTTTATTGCTGGAATATCACAAAAATCTCCAAAAGGTAGTTTTAAGAGTAAGCCCTTCTAAATTTTCAGATGTGTGCAAGTTGAGTGAATGAGACCAGGGGAACTGCAGGAGGAGTAAAAGATGTTAAACCTGATTCTTTGAAAGATAATATTACTTGGGAGAACTTATAACAAATACATCTCACTTTCTCCTATGTCCACATGTTAATGGTTTACAACAATGCTCTCTATGCATCTATGCAAATACTTGAATAATGCAATTTATTGTGCCTTTTGCCTAGTTTTAATAAAATTTGTTGGTTGTCATTAAGAAATACTCTTTCACTGTCTATTATTTCATTACCTCAGTTCAAATCTTCATTTTCTACATGGCATTTCTCCAGGGATGGCAGGATTGCTGTAATGAAATGCACTTCTAGACTGAAGAACGATGAGTCCCATTTACAGCCATTTTCTAAAATAAAATGCACCAAGCATCACTGATTAGGATGCCAAAACCAAAGCTGGAGTGAGTGACTTGGATTATTTTCTGCCACCAAAGGAGGTCGCTGCAGTTTTACTCTGCTTCAGATGCCTTTTCTGTTGTTCTCAGCTGTCCCTCAGCCTCTTTAGGGCTACATTACTAACATGAAATAATGAAAAACTTTCAGATCTACCTGCAACTTTTTTTATTTTGAAAAAAACCTTTATTTCCCTTTCCATATTCCAAAAAGATAGCACTGAAATGTTATTAAAATAGGAGATTGCCTTGTCATCTCTCCCAAAGCCCCACAGTATATTTACTCAGTGATGCTCACACTCAGGTATAATCAGGTGAGCATCTCAGAGGACAGCAGGACACCTCATGGGGCTCAAAGAATTTGGGGGGTTTTCCAAGGTCAAGATATTTCCTGAGGAAAAAAATACTTTATATTTACAGCCACTTCGTCTTTCAGACTGAAAAAAAATTGTGACAAGAAGTCTTGGAGAGAGTGGTAGAGGTTCTCTTGACATGGGGTTTACCCTGCCAGAGCTCCCCAGCTCTTCTTCAGGTGGGGTCTGGGTCAGTCCCAGCAACTTCACCAAGGCCTGAGCACCAGGGCTGCTCAGGAAAAAAAAAATCCCAAACAAACAAAACTCCTATAAAAATAATTAACACTGCTTCAGGGAAACTCCTGCACCTCACAAAAAACCAAAAGCTGAAAAAGATCTCTCTGTGAAAACACGTCATGGCTTGAGTCCTGCCCCTGAGCCTGACTGAGCAGCTTTTGCAAAATTCACCATGTTTTGCCCATATTCACCAATATTCTTGTCCCCTTATTTGCAGAGCAAGTGATTAAACATGGATGAGCAGAGTCTGAATAGCACCGTGCAGTCCTTGTCTCTCACCTCCTCTTGAGACGCTGGTGTGTATTTTAGAGTTCATGCAAGTGTCTAGAAAGGAAACAAAAAAAGACAAAAACCACTGATCAATGATCCATCAAGGCCTGGAAACAAAGACATCAATGGCCACCGGGGGAAGGAGTGAAGGGTAAACATCAGCCGTGCCAAGAATAAGAGAGGGAAGGGGCCTCAGAGAGGAGCTTTGCTCCAGCACTATCATATTTCTAGAGGACTTTTGTTTCCAGTGGCTGCATGTATTAGGGCCCAGAGAGGATTAAACACACCCCTTGCTGCCACACCATGACAGAGATCCCATCCAAAAGCCTGGAGAAAGATTTGACTTTGGAAAAGACACTGTTCATTTTATTTTCTGCTTTTCCTTCTCAAAATTTTCCCCTGGCACTTGGAATATTGACATCACCCACCCAACCTCCAGTCCCCTGCATGTAACACCCTAAGTGCAGAGCATGAATACTTTGGGTTTATCCTCTGGGGCAATGCTGGAGTTGTCCACCTCTATCAGGATGTTCTTGTCATCTCTGGTGACTGGTGCTGGCTGTTCGTTCTGAAGGACTTGGGGTAGATTCCCTAAACTGACATCCATGTCTTTGAAAGCATGGAGTAAAAACACCCCCAAAATGATGGTGAGGAAGCCACAGACTGTCCCAATGATGTCAATCACAGTCATGGTGACCCACTCCTTAAAGAGGATGATGGAAGTGGTGATGACGATGGTGGTGAACAGCACGTAGTAGATGGGGAACACCAAAGAGGTGTTGAAGATGTCCAGAGACTTGTTGAGGTAGTTGATCTGCGTGGTGATGGATGCCACCAGCGTGATGACCAGGATCCAGGTCAGTGGGTGCTGCAGCACAGGCTGGCCAGCAAAGAAGCCCTTGATGGCAATTCCCAAGCCCTTGACTGAGGACACGGAGAAGGCGCCGATAACGGAGCAGATGGCGAGGTAGATGAGGATGTTGCTCTGGCCGTAACGGGGGGCGAGGCAGAAGATCAGGAGGAAGCAGAGAGCCAGGAGGATTGCAGCATAAGCCAGGAAACCTGCAGCAGGGAGAGAAGAACTCAAAACTCCAGCAGTGGGCATGGGGAAGGGTTTGCACTGCCCGGCCCTGAGAGGAAAAGCACGGCTGGCTGCGTACCCGGCTCCTTCAGCTTGGAAGTCATTTCCTCCAGAGTGGTGACCTCCTCGTCCTCTGGGGCGTGTATGACCATCACAGTGCTGCCCACCAGGCTCAGCAGGCAGCCCAGCTTTCCCAGCAGGTTGAGCCTCTCTCCAAGCAAATATGATGACAGAATGGCACTGCATGGGACAGAAAAACATCAGCCGGACAGAAAAACATCAGCCGGTGCTCTGCACTCCTTCAAAGGAGGAGCAGCAGCTCTAGGAAAGTTAAGAATGCTTCCATGTGATACAAGGACACAATTTTGGTGTAAATTAGTTGGATTCCAGTGGGTTAATACACAATCACATGACATCTATCACAGCTGAACCTGCAAGGGTGCAGGTGTGACCTGTAGATCACAGCTCTTGTGTCAGCAAGGTGCAAAAATGCTGAATGTTTTAGCACATCCTCAGAAATATTTTTTTAGGGTTGGCAGAATCATTCAGGAGCTGCTGAGCATTATGAAGCTCTTAGTGCTCAAGAAATTACTTCAAGGGCCAGTGTAACAGAGAAAAAAACTGAACCTAACAACAAAAAAGCCATGTTAATTTTAACTAAATCATGAGAACCATTAGCAAGAGATACTCTAAAAGTACTGGAGCTACAGATATATCTGCAAAAATATCTAGTTGTTGTCCAAAAAAAACCTGGGGCAAGACACTAGAGCAGTCCTACCTCTCAGTTTGCTTATGCATTTCATAATACAGTCTTTCTATAAAACTTTAAGTAGCTTAATGTATTTTGGTAGGAATCTCCTATTTAAAAATAAAGAAATTAAATAGGGTTTCAGCCCTTTTGGGAACAGCCAGAAATATAAAATCCTGCAATGTGAGAGGACCCTAAAAGCTGATAAAATAAAAGGCAGGTGAAAGGCACTTTGAAAACAAGCCTGGTGTTTTTGACCCTTTTAAAATTTTAGTACTCTTGATTACAAAAACAAAACGAAACAAAACAAACAAACATTAAAACCTCACCAATCCTGAGTGGTTAAAGAGCTGGAATAAGAAATGAAGTAATGCAGATATTTGCAATAATTTAACCTGCAGTGTATGTGGTTGCTCTACACATCCAGCATTTCCAGAAGGACAAGCTACTTAATTCAATGGTTCCCAAGTGATCCCTCAAAAAGGACAACAACTGTTAAAGTATTTTTTAGAAAACACTGAGACTTCTTTTCCTTTGAGCAGAATAAATCATACTCGTATCCCTTCAAGTTTATTTTTACAAGTCAAACAGGCAAACAAGAAAAAAGGCAAATATGAATTTATAGACACAAAAATCACCTTATGAGCACGCTCAGAGCCCCCAGAGGGGTGACAATAGTTGCAGGAGCAAAGGCATAGGCAGCAAAGTTGGCAGCTTCCCCTCCACCCACTAAACAAACACAAGAAAAATAAATACCAGTGAGTTACAGAGCACTTTCTGCATTTTCTCTTGGGTGTTTGCAAACCAGCAAGTTGTCACTTGGAGGGTGGGTTTTATGCTGGGGGTTTCATCCTGCTGCTAAT